GATAAATAACGCGATACATTCAGTTGTAACTTCTGATGAAACCGGGCTTTGCACTGAGGTGTATGTAATCGTAACAGGTAGGAAGCGAACCGAAACGAGTTCTCGTTTTTGAAAATTCTTCTAGCGGGTTCTTTGTGAACTGTACTGTAATAACCGTGACAATTACCATTTCAAGTACCTGATTTCACCAGTGGTGAGAAAAATAGTAGAGAGGCTATTTTCCGTGCCACTGTTCGATGGGTTACTCCTGTGACTAACCAGGGAAGGGTTTCAACTTCCCATGGACTGCTTGCTTTGGACAACCTCTTTTGAACGTACTTTCGGCTCTAGCCAGAAGTTACTGGCCGCTTTCAAGCCATCGCTTGGAGAGAGGTACGTATGTAGGTGTAACCTGTCATCATTTCTCCGAAGTGTAACTAATATGTTTCCCACTATACTATACTATTAAGTTTCCATTCCTTTTTTGTTGTGATCAGATCAGGTATCTCAGTTACCGCATTGATGAGCTCATGATGTTTGTTATAAGCTCTTTTTTCACTGATTATTTTTCTTCGAATAAATAGCATCTTTCAATGAGTCGGGAAGTACCCCTTTTATCAAAGCTCTCTATTATAAAAACTGAATTGACATGATTCAAGGACTGCGCGCTTCCTGTTGTGAAGCGTCGATTCACAAGAAGAAGAGTTGTGAACATATTCGAAAGGTCTCAGCAGGTCCGAAATGTTCAAAACGCTAGAGCAGTAAGCTTGTGACACGAATTTTCATTGATGATCTCTTCTTTTTCAGTCAGTAAATACCAAGTACAGAAAGTCTGAAGATTGAAGAATAGTTCCAAGAGTTCTGTATTGGGCTTAAAAATGTCATCGCAACTAGCTTGGATCAAAGTGATTCTGGTGTACATAGGAGCTGCGACGTTATACATATATAACGTCATTGTATTTTTTGAGAGTATCTATGAATTGGGCGGTGGTGGTGTAGTGGCAAGTGGAGCACTATCACACTCATGGCCAAGGGAATGGAACCCAGCCCGATATTCTCTCAAACCAACCAAATCATCCATGCCTCAGACATTTGGGAGGATAAAAGCGCTGGCTTTTACATCGACTTGCCACCGTGGTCGTGGTTTAGGCTACATACGCATTCAATACGCCAATACGATTCTGAATGGAAATCAAATGTGGGGAGGCATACTAAACCAGAACTGCTCAATGCAAAAACTTGATGTTTCACCTTTCAAAAAAAATTAATGACTTGGAACAAAGAAGAATGGTCTGTAAGATTTTCGGTGCAGCCTTTGTAAGTTTGGCAGCTTCTCCATTGCTAAATTTTGAGTCCAAGAAAGGCCCCTGGTTATACTCGAGAAAATGTTCTCATCTATCCCTGCAGCGTTAGGCATTTGGTGAAACTATCAAAACTTCACTGTCAGCAATAATCAGCACCCTAACGTAATGCATGGCAAGGCATAAACCGGTTCTTGTGCAACAGGACTTCTTCGTTCCTTTGGGCCCACGATCACAATAAGACACTCGTATTCTTTTTATAATACACTGCAGTCGTCGGAGCAGTTAAGTATTGGACACGATGTTTTTGTGACACACTCGAAGACGGCGAATGGTAGCACAACGAACTACGAGAGAGTTACAGGCTACTTCCAAACGCACAGATTGCACTCCGACGTCTCCATTGCCGTAGCCAGACATCTCGCATCCTTACTACTTTCTATCTCTTTCTGTAACACCACGGTGCTGTTGATCTTATTAACAGAGTATGCTGCTCAAGCGACATAATAAGACACGCCTCAGCTGCTTGAGTAGTACAGGACCAACCAGGCTGTACATATATCGAAGATGATGCCTTCAGCAAAGACCCTCCAGGCTGATCATTAAAATCCGTTTCGTATAGCTCAAAATACTTACGACATTTGCACGCAGTCCAACATTTCAAAAAGCTATAGCTTGAGTGTTTCTTACCGAAATTGCATGACTAAAGATTTAAGTATGGCTCACTTGTCATAATAAATCGCATGGCTGAGATATCGTGTCTTTGCTCTCTCGATTTCAGTATTTTTGTAAGAATTACTACACAAGCGATTTGACCGAAAGATACTGTTGAATTAGATCTTCATGAAAAGATGGTTGAAATCAAAATTTGACGTCCAATTTACCTTTTCCTGCAGAGGAAGTGATGGGGAGCGCGCTGCTTGCTGCCTAGACCTGCACAAAGTCGCTTATGTAGTCAAAAACTGATCGAGGTGAGGATTGGCAGGGATGGTGTAGAAGCAGTCTTCACACTATCACACGCGCAGGGTCCTGGAATCGAACCTCAATTGGTTATCGGAGTCAGTTGGTTGGTATCAGGTTCGTCTAGGGGGATAATGGCATTGACTTGGTTTCTTCGAAACATTTTTGATTGACGAAGGTATTTGAAAGCACTCAGAACGGTCAGTGAACAGAAATTATTCGTAACAGTTTAGTCAGGAAACAGTTCTCCCCAAAGTATTACAATGGAGAACTACTAAATACTATAAGAATCATATGTAACTTTGCAATTCACATAAAGCTGTTGGAGTCTGGGTGGGAAAGTTCGACAGAAGGTTGAGCATGGAGGAAATGAAAATGAAGGCTGTTCAAGTGCGATATATACAATATAAGTATAAATATATAATATATATATATAAAGAAATAAAATATTTCCATAA